CTCATTTCTTGTTTATGTCGACACATTCGTGTTTTGTGTCGACTCAAACACCTTTCTTGCCCCTGAAAATAAAAAATAACACAGTATGAGTCAACAAATAAGGGTTTGTGTCGACTCATACACCTTTCTAGCCCCTGGAAATCCAAAATAATACAGTATGAGTCGACACATACGCATTTTGTGTTGACACATAACCTGTCTTGTGCCTGATATGCATCGTCTCATAGAGGCATGTGTCGACTCATACTGCTGTATTTTGTTTCTAACACTCTACTACATGTAAAAGTCAGTTTTCCATATATAATTGATAAACATGAAAAGCAATCATGTGATTAACTTTAAAAGAATGATATCTACATTTATCTTCAAGAATGAATCACTAATGATGCTTTAAATGAGGAGCTCAAAGTCAAGAATACTTACCTTGGAACTGAAATCTGTGTTATGAGTTTGAACACCTTTCAAGAGGCTGTGATGATCAGAATGGCTTTAGTGATCCTCCAGGAAGCTGCTCATATCCTTGATTTTGTATTGAGAGCTGTAAGGTTGTACATAGGGTTGAAGTTTTGTTTTTTTGTTTGGAAGGTGGTGAGGATGGTATCACAGAAGTTGTTTTTGTAGTTGAATCATCTCTCTGTGATGCATATGAAATGTTTGTATAGTTGGTTTAGGAGAAGACATACAAGGTTGAACAATGGGTCGAGGTTTTATTTTTGTGAATGAAGATCCTTTTGGTTGCTACTTTTTTTTTGCTGCTGTTGTTTTTCTCTCTTTCTCACAGTGTTTTTCTCTTTTTTTTTTCCACAAAAACGCTCCTCTCTCAATATGGCTCTTTCTCTTTTTTCAAAGAACTCTTGTATCCCACCCCTTTTTCTTTGTTGTATATTGTTTGTATATCAGCTGAGAGGTGGAAATCGGGGGGAAAGGTTGGTGGGATTTCAAACAATTTTGACAGGCTATTTCACTCCTTTTCCATTACAGATTTGGGTGACTTCTATTTTGTGTAATGTTTGGCCTTTGTTGGCAGTAACTTTGACAGTTTTAGAAGACTGTCTTTGTAGGTTTTTGGACTGTTTGCTTGGACTGTTTTGTTTGTTTTATATATGTTGCATAATGGACAGTATGGTTGGGTTTTGCAGTGGAAGGGACATCATTGTTTTGGAAACTTTGGACCTGTTTTATGGGGCTGGTTGGTGCAAACTTTGGGTCTGTTTTGTGGGGCTGGTTTTGGGCTTGTAATGAGAAATTCCCTTGTATGGTTTCAAATGGTCATAACATGAATAAAAATTTAAAGGTAACCAAATGACTTAAATCTTGAATATAGTAACTTGTGATGTAAGGAATTGGTGATTTGTGAACCAAAGACATTGTATGAAATACCAATTTCCATTATTTCCAATTTGCAATCCAAGTCCATGTTTTCTTTCTCTTTCAATTTCGAATCTTCATGACAAATTCAAACTACTTTGAAAATGATAGATGCCATCTTAGTTCAAAATTTAGTCCCTCAAGAAACTCCTCAAATAAAATTTTAATCCACATGAGAAGAATTCCTTGGTTTCACCCCTTAAACCTCTTAATAAGCAAATGGCTTGTAGAAGGAGATAAAGCTCAATGTGACCTTGAAGCAAAAATTCTAGTTTCCTGAAAACACTGTGAAACTTTAAAATTGCACAACCACTAAACTCTTGGACCTCAGGTGCTTTATTCGGTGAAATGCATGATATGTAAATGAATTAGTGAAGATGATGTAGATGAAATGCGAAGCCTAAACCAGACAAAAGTAAAAGGCATGACAAATTTGGGGTATGACAATTATCACCCATGGTTAAGAGATTCATAATTGAGAAAGTGTATCAAAGAGTGTGAGTGTTAGTGATGTAAACAAACCAATTGAAGTATGTATTTATAATCGAATCGGTTGAAGTTTGAATGAATGCAATGGTTGATAGTTGGTGTGCATGGCTGACATGTTAACACCTATCAGCCAAGTCAAATGGTGTATACACATAATTTTGAATGGAGGCGCCGTTCAATGTAGCGTAGAGCAGACTAGGTGGCAGCCTATGGTGCAGACTAGGTGGCGCCTAGGAGGCAGAGCAGGGCATGTGGCATGGTCGGGCATAGGCGTGGCATGCTAGGTATCTTGTCTAATACCAAGGCCCCATTTCAAATGGCATAAGGAAAATTTTGATGGAGGCGCCATCTCACTTGACTTATGAGTGTCCATGCAATTTTGTATTATGTATTTTGATTTTCAAGTATTTAACCTTGAGCGATTATGATTGAATCTCATCCCTCAAACACTCAAATGTCAAAATGGCCTATACCCCACAATATGTTACCAATGCCCACGTTAATGGTGAGACGTACCATTGCGATATATCCGAATTTTTGTTCCGAAACACCGATAATATCCGCTTTTGTTTAAATAGAAAAGCTACTTTATCGTATTTCTAAAAGAGACTAGAGGTCAAGCTTGAACAAGGTCTAGTGTCACAAATCTTCTACCAACATCATTTTTTGTTTGGCACGAACCAAATACAATTTTATCAGGTAGAGGTTTCAGATGACGACGATCTTCAAAATATGTTTTATAATCATGAATATTCTGGGTACGACTCGATTGAGTTGTACATTTTGCTACGACAACTTCTTTTATCATAACCAATTGAGTCACAAGTTACTGATCCCATCAAAGATGAATAAGTGGAGGTCTACGCTGTTGATGAAGAAAAAGAAACAAAATTAGAAGTTTATCACATGGTGATCAATGATTCTGAGGACGATGATCAAGGTCCAATACCTACAACTCAAGTGTACACACCACCTTCACACATGACAAACTTTAACTTGGGATGAGATGAACCATCATCATATATATTCTACAATCCATATATGCAGTCAGATGAACATTTAAAAGAGGGAGACAAATTTCGTTTGAAAGAAGACTGCGTGTGAGCCATAAAAGAGTTTCACATGGTAAACTCCATGGATTTTAAAGTAGATTGAATAAATGCAGAGATGTACAAAATTTGGTGTGTGAATGAAGAGCGTATATTTAGGCTGGAAGTATCATACAGGTTGAGAAGTAATTCCTGGGGTGATAGGCTCAATTTCTCAAGCCCACACTTGCATTAGCACTAATCAGACACAAGATCATCGTAAACTGAGTTATGATCTTATACGCCAAGAAATCTTACCTCTCGTAAACAATGATTCGTCGTTGAAGGCGAGTACCATAATCTCTTATATCACTACAATTAAGGGTGGGCATTGGGTTGGACTGGGCAGGTTCGGACCCAAAAGTACCACCCATCCTAAACCACGGGTGAACTTGCGAGGCCCATTTCCGCCCAGCTTTTGTATCCGTTGGGACGGGTTGGGCCAGGTCAGGTTGTGGGTGACTGCAGATGGTTTTATTGGGTTAGTAGAGGGTTATCAAATTTTAAAGCACAACAACATTTTATGATTTTTTTATACTTTTTTCCCAGATTAATTACTGTACCAAATGTGCCTTACTTCCATCAAAACCAAAACTAAAATCAATAATCAATCAAAATTATAATAAAAGAAAGTTAAAGGAAACTTCACTCCACTACTTAACTCCAATAATGAATATACAAATAATCTCAAACACTCACCAAACTGTTAATCTCACAATCCAATACATTTAACTCGTATCACACTATAACTTAAATAGTAATAACATTATAACTACTTCAATAACCTTCCACATTTAACTCCAATTAGCTTTCTTTCATTTGATAAAAATCCCATATAGATCTTCAGCTGGCCTGTCTGCAAAACCAATAGAACACAACATAACAAAGGGAACACACCATATGGCAACTTTCTAAACAATACATATATTTATCAATTGAATTTGCTCCGACGAAGGATCTCCAATCTTTAGATAGCTGAATTCGCATATTAGTCCCTGTGTGCCTATCAGTCACCGTGTTCAAACAGTTACTATCAATCAATGTGTAAAATGAATTAGTCTTTAGAGGAGGGGAAGTTATATAAAATGCAAAACGGAAAAAGTAATATTTTTTTTCTACAACATATAATTAAGAATAAAAATACCCTTTATCACACGAGTGTCATATTTTTCTCGATTGCCAACAAAGTACACATGTGGACAATTCTGAATGAAGAAAGGATCAAGAGCCCTGTCAGTATAAGGATAACAACCTGAAGTCAACAATTAATATTAGAACAATATTTTTGAACAACAACAATGATAGTTTGATTTGACTCTTCAGATTCAGTTTCAATTTAAACATACCAATACAAAACAGAAGATGGATTCGAAACCTCTCAGCTTGCTATTACCAAAATATGCACCCTAGACAACTTGCTATATGGATTCAAATCATAAGATGTCATTACCAAGATATCATTAAAAATTGCTTGAATAGTAAAATATTCAGCAACAACTAAAACAAGATGTCATTACCACTGTTTGTTGTTCAATATTCAGAAACAACTAGTTTCTTCAAAAAATGCAGCAACAACTAGTTTCTTCAAAATATTCAACAACAACTAGTTTCTTCAAAATATGACTCCAAAATATATATTCTTTATTCAACCATTGAGTAGTAATATATAAGTCACAAATGACTCCAAAATATCAAAAAACACAATTGATTTGAAAAATTAGATAAAAAACATTAATAAGAGTACAGTGGATTCAATACACATAATTTGAGAAATATATAGCATAATAGAATACCTGAATTTCAAGCACAACCAGAAGGTTGTGGCTGAGAATGTGATGATGAGACACCTGAATTTTTGGATCCCCCTCTTGCTCTTGAAGTCATTTCTTGAAACTCTAAAATAATGACAAACAATTTTAGATACGACACTAGAATTTACATCTTATTTATTCAATATAAAGTTATAATTTTACCTGTTACAATATCATCTGAAAGCTCAAAATCTTCCATGAGGTTCATGTCTTTGAAATAGGTAAAAGAAGGCCTTAACCAACTCTATGTGCAAATTGATGCCTCTACCATTTCAGCTGTTAGAGAGCTCCTATAGGTTTCTATGACTCTTTCTCCTGTGCTGAAAGCACTTTCAGAAGTAACATTAGACACCAGTGTGGCTAAAATATCTCTTGCCATTGCGGATAAAATAGGATATTCAGATGATTTGTGTTTCCACCACATAAGAATGTCAAAATTAGGATCCTTTTTGACACACTTATTAGAGAGATAACCCTCAAGCTCATTTTGTAGATCAATCGAATCCTGTTCCTCTAAATGTTTCTCAAAAGCATCGACTCTAGCCATAATCGAAGAACATGCAACATCAATATTTGTTTCAGAATTGGACGCTTGTCCACCACTACCAATAGGCTGCCCAACACCATGTTTTTGGTCATAAACTTGCTTATACCAATCATACAACTTTTTCAAACTCTCTTTTATAGTTTTGAGCAAGTCACTACTAAACTTGAAGCCAACTCCATACATATGCTTAAAAGTCCATTCAACATATCTTAACTTGAATCTTGGATCAAGAATAACACCAAAATATATCAGCTTGTTCATCTAATCAACACTCCCTCAATATCTATTATACTTTTCCCACCATATCTTCACCCACAGTTGAAAAAATATAATTTAAGTTCATTGTAGCTTGCTGCAACTCACAATAAATGGAAGACACTTGTTGAAAACAAGTATGCAAACTCACATCTTGATAGGTGGAAAAAATATTAGTTGCTTCATAGAATAACTTTAAAAAAGCGGAAAAAGCCCTAGCAATGTCCCAATCATCACTACTAGGGGGGTTACCTTTTCCAAAGAACTCCTTATAGCTCGACTCTTCGTCCTCAAGTTTATCAAAAGCGAGTTCAAACTTCTCTGCAACCTCTAGCATTAAATATGTTACATACCAACAAGTTGAAACATCAAGACATACTAATTTTTTTACAAGTTATTCTAGCAAATTCAATGCATTCTTTAAACATGGCTGCCCTATAAGATGAGGGATTTCCAAATCTAACAGCATCCCTAACGCAAGTTATAGATAAGTGTTTATCTTTCAAACCCTCATTTACCACCAAGTTCAAAATGTGAGCAGAACACCTCATATGAAAATATTCTCCACCCCCCATCAACCCATTCGTAGTTGCTATTTTTTTCTTCAAATATATCACAACAACATCATTTGCAGTAGCATTATCAACAGTTACGGTTGACACATTTCGAATTCCCCAATCCCTTAACACTTCTTTAATCTTCCTACCTATTGTGTCTCCCTTGTGGTTTGGAACTACGACGAAGCTTATAATTATTTTTTGATACTTCCATTCGTTATCCACAAAGTGTGCCGTAAGGGTCAAGTAGTTAAAATTTTGTATAGAAGTTCAACAATCAGTAGTAAGTTCCACCCTATTGCAATCAGACTTAAAGAAGACCTTTAACTTTTGTTTTTCATCCAAGTGTAGCTGAAAACAGTCTCTAGCTACTATATGCCTAGATGGGATGGTAAATTGTGGCTGCATTACTTTAGAATAAAATTTAAACCCTTAACCCTCTGCTGCACTAAACGACTGCTCATCTAGAACTACAAAAACCGACAAAGCACTTATACAAGCTTTCTTGTAAAATCTAGATCTAACTTGAACCAAATTACCATCCATAGTTGGGTATGTTAGAATAGTTTGAGTGGGATCAATTGACACAACAAGATGATTCTTTGGACATTTTTAATATCCTGGTTCAAGTTAATGGTGCAGTGAGTCCTAGGGTCACACAAGTATCTTTTATGGCAGTGTTTGCAAGCTGCAGTGGGTGCATCGACTAATTGATCAGGTAATCTAATAAAGTGTTCCCAGCAAGCAACTGTTTTTCTAGAACCACTTGCACAAGATTTCCTCTTCTTTGAAGGTTGTGCATCAACTAATTCAGGTGCAGTTGTTACAGTTGGATCAATTTCACTAATTGGTAGATTTTGATTAGGTTGAACCCTCACCAAAAATATGAAGGAGCCATTGTCAACAACTACCAATCAACAACTAACAGTCCGAATTCATACACTACCAAGCACACAAAAAAGAGTTTCAAAACAGTTTGAAATCATATAGTATGAACAACATAATCTATTATAGAACAAAACATGGCAGTCACAGACACATAACTCTTACACAAACACATCACTTATAGAAATAAAACACATTGTTATACTAAACATAGTCTATAACATGTTTAAAAACAAAACATATAACACCTACAAAAACATAACATAACACTTACAAGGCGCTTGCTATGTGATTCTTTGATTTCTATTTTGTTGATGCTCCATCTATTCAAATCAAAATATTATAGTATTAATTACGAACTAGTTTGTTGGTCAAAGCATATATTTACACTAAATGGTGCTGATTTCATCAAGGGAGTAATCATTTATATCATAATCAGTAAAAGCTAACAGATGATGTAGAAAAAGTAACAAATAATAAGAAAATATTATAAAAAACCAAACCTGAAACTTTACCGGTAGGTTGTTGACAAGAAGAAAAATACGTATCAACGACAATAACCATATTCATGTAGATGTCCAATTGTAGATTTCCAATTTGTTATCGTGAAATGAAAGAATAACACAAAATATCAAAAACCAAAAAATTAATTTGTAACCCTAGAATATAAAAACGAAATTAGGAGAATAAAAATATAACAAGATATTCATAACCACCTTGCAAACAAAAAGAAAAAGTGATGATAGTCTTCTTCGTTGATGGAGGTGAGTGATGAGTCAGAAAATATATGAGAAGCCAAGATTTCATGTTTCTGCGGCTGAATGTTCAGGAGGTGAGTGAATGTTTCAGAACACATAGGCTTCACTAACTAGACCTAATGTAAAATGATGTAGTTTTACATCGCTCATCCACTCGGGTGGGTCAGGGTACCCGCTGTCCAGCTTTTGCTACTCGGACCCGTCCCGTTAAATCTGATCCAAATTGTAACTATCACCCAATAACCCGTTAACCCATTGTAACCCTCCCAATTCCTTCTTTTTTCGGTTACCCGCTGGTTGGGTTGGGGCCCTTGTCCACCCCTAACTACAATATACAATTATACCCCGTCGTACAGAAAGGCGTGGTTAACAAAAAACAAGATGATTGAAAAAGTTGTTAGATGACTGCAACATATCTAGAGGGGGGAGAATAGATACCTAATTAAAAATGCTTGAAAAGTTCTGGTTTTGAAAATTTATTTATCAAAGAGTGTAAGCGAAAGATTTTCAAAAACAAGTCGTCTATACGAACCGTAATTGGAAGAAAAATATGCAAATTGTAACAAATTGAATATGGAATGAAAGTGATAAATGGAATTAATATGATTCAATCAATTAACAAATTATTTAATATTTATAGCAAGTTACTAGTAATGCTATTTTCAATGAAAACAATCAAAAGAATAAACTGAACAATTTGTCGAACACTTGGCGTGCAACATATTTTCCAAAATTTTCTTTTGAGTTAAACAAGCTACACAACTTTTCAAACACTTGGTGTGCAGTTAAAGTTTCAAAATTTTCCTTTGAGTTATGTTGATATGAAAAAGAACTTATAATCAAAAGTGATTATAAGCAATTTAACATACAATTTAAAATAAAAACAGTATTGGAAAATTCCTACGCATTGATAGATTACTCAATGTTATTTGACAAATTGATGTATGAAAATTAAAGCAAGTAAAGCAATAGGAGAAAAGAGACACAAGGATTTGTCTTCACAGTTCCCCACTTTCATCCTCGCATGTGAGTACGTCTGCGCCTAATTCCAATGGGATTAGGATAATTCTTACTATGCAAAAAGTTGATACAAGAGAAGTGTTCAAGAGCAACTCCATAAACCCTAATGCTTGTTGTTGATTCAACCCCTTCTCTTCCTTTTATCTTGAGAAATACCAAGACATAATAGCTGCCAATTGGTTATCTAGATCTTGCTACTCTTTTGCGTACTTTATCTCCAAAGCTTTTGCGCACCACCAATTTCAACTATTGTAACACAAGACTTAAATTTGTCTTGTTCTCCTCTACTTCCTTTGTGTTCTTTATCTCCAAAGACTTTCACTAGGCCATAATCCTCTCCTGATGTCTTGCATGAAAACCCCCAAATCAATAAATGATCTTGGAGGATAAACCCACGATTTTTCTGGATGAAGACCCCTGTAAATCTCAACCCAATATTCTCGGCTACACAAGAATCTAATTGGACATTATCAAACCTCGTATAAATGGAACCCTAACAAAATATTGTTACAATGGAATGTTATTGTGTATGCATATGTTAGAGGTTAAAGCTGAAGAGAAAGTGCAGGAAATTTTTATGGTATCATCAAGTTGGAATGATGCATGAAAGATGTATTTATAGTTATGGAAATATTGGGGCAAAATAGAGAAATTCGGAATTAAAATAAAATAGAAAATTTAGCCCATGAAACTGTATGAGCCGGCCTATAGCTTGGATGAGCAGGCTCATAGTGTTAATTTTAACAGTATGAGCCGACCTGAAATGGTCTATGAGCCGGACTGAACAAAACAAAAGAGAACCCCTTATTTAGGACAATACATGTGCCAACCAGAAATGACTTATGAGTCGACCTGACCCAAACATAAGAGAACTCCTTATTTAGGACAATACATGTGCCGACCTATAATGGCTTATAAGCCGGTCTGTATATGCATTTTTAGTGCAGAAAATGATTTTTCACGACTGGGTCAGTTTTGACTATGTTTCAAATGATCCCTAAGACCTCTAAATGCTTAGGGTGCTACCTAAACTCAGAGATACCTCTCAAATATATAAAAATGCTATATTCTTGTAGTTTTGACATCATGCAAAATACCTCTTGAGAAAAGTTGCACTCACATACTCCCCCTTTTTTATGATGGCAAAACTGCGACGATGATGATATTTCGTGTGTATTTGACGCTCCCCCTGACTATGTGCTTTCCAAATTTATATAGCATATTCTTCTCCCTCTTTGACAATATCAAAAACAGAACAAGCATATCATTATAAGTATCATAGTATACCATAACAAGTAATATATCATACAAATGCAATTTTGCATAGAAGAGAAACAATCACATATCCCCATATATATGTGTGATACGGTGGCAGAACCGACTGTTTAATACTGGTTTTTGTGTTTTGTATAAGTAAATGTTGCGGTAAGCAAGAGTCGCCATCGACTTTTCTTTTATCCAAATTAAGGAAAGGGTGAAAAGAACAGAAAAACACATTTTCGAGAGTTTTCTGAGTAAGGGGGGTAGATTATGGAAAGGGGAGGTGTTAGCACCCTTTCCATCTGTAGTTATCTACAGGCTCTTAGAGATTTTCTCATTTTGAAATACTTTTGTGCTTTGTGTGTTTGAAAATGTTTTGAGAACGCCTTAGTGCAGCGATTTGCTTTACGTTTAACTCTTGTATCAGTCCTCAAGAGTGTTAACAAAGCAAATATTTTGAAAATTGTTTTTGAAAAGTAGTATTTGTGTAAGTGCAAAATGTTTTTGAGAAAACTTCTAAAAGCTA